GAACATCAAGAAACTCATAATTGAAGGGGATTCAGAGGTGGTGATAGGGTGGCTGACTAAAGATCAAAATGGTTTATGGAAGTACAATAATGAGAGGAGGAAATTCAAGTGGCTGGKGCGGGAGATGGAAGTTAAGACATGTTGGATTAAAAGATCGGCTAATTCCCTAGCTGGCAGTTTAGCTAAACAAGGGGCAGAAAGGGATTCACTGTTTTGGGCTAAGGTGTAACATTAGTGTCTTTTGTCTTTTTTCTTTTTTCCTTTCTTGAATCTCTCAGTGGCTCTTGGAAGATAAGTGTGTTTGTCTTCCACTTGTAAATTTTCTAATGATGAATTAATGAAAGTGTTATTGATCAAAAAAAAAAAAATTCATAAGAAACCAAAAATAGCCCATGCTAAATCCAGCTTACTCCAATAGCCAAGAAGTAACACCTACAACTTAGATATTAACAAGTTCTTGTCAATTGAAACAATCAAAGGTAGTGTGACTGCCTAAGACACTTAACAACAGCAAATGGAAAACATATTAATCAATTTCAAAGAAAGGCATGACATCCTACTATTGAAAACCACCATGTACGGGAATTCTATACCCAACTTGCATGAAGTTTTTTTTAAGCATATTATAAACTAGTTAATTTGGGTAATATCGTGAAGCATAAAAAAAAGAAAAGTTTATTTCAGCTCACAATGGTTAATTAAAGAAACAGAAAAGGCCAATTAAAGTAACACGTTAAAAGAAGGACCGAATTAATCAACTAGACTTTATTTTAATCAATTAGGTGAAAATAAATGTTCTTCATTGAGACGTTTTTCATGAAAATGCAAAACATTACATCAGAAACAAAGTGAAAGATTAAAACCATAAAGTTACATTGCTAAAAAGTAATAGGCAGCATGAATATAAATACCTGTCTGAAATGGAAGCTTCTAACTGCACATTATTCACATGCATAGAACTATTTCCAGTGCTTGACACTCCTGAAAATAAATTTGGTGGAAAACCCCTTAAATCCATTTCATGAAAGCTATTACTTAAGCCCATTAAGTTCGTTTGCGAAGCCTGCTCATCAGATTGCACTGTTATACTAGCAGTCTGTTTCGAAGAATTCGGAAAAGAATAAGTCATATTTCCTGAGCCTGTAAAATCTTGCCAATCATCATCTTCATTCATTTTCTCATTCTTAGGTGCTTCAATGTGGCTGCCTTTCCATAGATCATCTTGTATCCAATTATCACTCATAAATGAAAGACCATTTGACACAACCTTTTGTTCAGCATCACAAGGTTTATTGTTTACTTCAAACTGCTCATTGTTGCTAGATACTCTAACATTGGGAGTACTCCATAGATCATCTTGAATCCAGTTATTATCTATGGAAGGTAGAGGAACTGGACCTTCATTTGGTTTTACATCATTGTCTGTTCTGTTAACTTTACTCTTCAAATCTGTCGCCATGCCAAAGGAAACCTCCATAGAGCTAGAAAAATCAATTGCAGATGATACTGGAAAAGGGTCAAATGATTTGGTGTCCACTGGAAGAGTACCAGAACTAGCAGATTGAAACTCGGCTTCCCAATCTGAAAATTGATCTCCTGTATCACCTTCAGTAATAACTGAATTCACTGATATACTGGAATTTCCGACATTCTTGAACAAATTAAGATCTCCCTGACCAGTGAATGCCTGACCTTCTGTACTTTCTATCTGTTTGTTGGCTACTACTGGTTCCCTTAATCTACTAAGATCAGTCCCTTCCTTTGCTCCAGAGAAAAAATTATCCAGGTCCACTCCTGCCAAGTTCAAAAAGACTTTATTCTCACTTGGTGACTTGCCTGTAAGGCCACTCTCAGTTCTCTGAGGCTCAGAAGGCCAATTTAGTTCAATATCTAACAGGTCAGATAAAACCAACTCGTCTGATTGTGCATTCTGGCCTTTATTTGAATCATTTTCTCCAGATGCTAAATTGACAGCCTCCTGAAAAATAGTTATGCCTATTATTCTCAAAATTTAGAACTCTAGATTTTCAAAATTTATGATCTTCAATAAGTGCTTGTAACCTAACAAAACAAACATAAATATGCTTCTTGAGCATCGACTATTAAAGCCAATCCCAGCTACATGCATTTAAAATCATTAGTTTGTTAGCAAAAGGGTAAATGTAACGTAAGAACAGAAAGCTCTAAAAAATAAGGGGGATGGGATGAAAAAAAACATCAATTAGTAAATGAAAATTCCTACTCCTAGCACCCATCCCCCACTCCAGAAGGGGGGAAAGAAGAAATCAAAAGGAAAGGAAGAAAAAGAAAAAATAAGGAAAAAAACTGACTAGGGAAAGAAAAAAAAAACTGCAATTGGTGCCAAATAGACCAAAGGAAACAGAACACAGAATTTCCACTTGAACCTAATTTTCCTCGGATTTTATTTATGGCAATGTACAACTATTCCCCGATCCTCGCGAATTAGTGAGAAATGGAATAAAACCCTAACTGGAGTTCCAAAATGGGCTCTCACTAAATGATACAAGTATTTAACTTGAGCATCTGACAGACGATTACACTGAGAAGACCATAGCTGACCTTTTGACGAGCGTAGTGGAGTTGAATCAGTGATGATAGCGACAGTGTTGCCATGAGTGGTTAGAGATAAACAAATTCACACAATAACAGTTCCAAACAAGAAAACGAAAAACATAAAAGAATAATGGTTACAGATTTCTTCAAATCAATGAAGTTTCGTTGCCATTGAAGCGAACAAGAAGAGAAAAATCACTCACAGATCCATCCAAGTCCAGAGATTCGAGTAGCCATCTGCACGCAAAGGTATTTTTGAAGGAGATGGGCTCAGGAGGGAGGTCCCTTCTCTGTTGGGCGCCACAGAAGACGCAAACCATTGATTCAAGACCCCTGAGGAGTCTTCCTCGGCATTGCTTGCATTGGAGATATGGAGGTGAGGGATCGAACTCAGCAATTAAGTCTTCGAGCGAAGGTATTCCAGGAAGCGACGGATCGTCTGGATCGTAAGAGGAGAGACCAGCCTGGTTACGCAGTGCGATTTGCACTTCGCGGATTAGAGAAGTTGGAATTTCGAACGCCATTAATCAAGCTCTAGCTGAATGCTGGAATTGGGGTTTCGGCTCTTGCCTCCGTTTGGCCTCAGTTCGAATGCTCCAATTCTTCCACCATCCCGTGTTACTTCCAGAAATCGGATGAGAGTAAAAAATGACTTTTAACGGCAGCTTTGTGTGTAAAGCAACGTATGATTGCCAACCGGGAACTGGTCACTAGACCTGTTCATGGGCCGGGCCGGGCCGTGTCGGGTCGGGCCGGGCTTATACTCTTCATGAATAGAAATTTGTTAGGCCCGAGCCTGAGCCCGGCCCGACCAACGGACCTACAACTTGGGCCCGAGCCCGAAGCCCGATGGTGATTGTGTTCGCCGGAGCTAAGTTTTGTGGTGACTGTGAGTTGCGATTTTAACAGTGAAAAGTGTGTCAGTTCGCGTCTAAGAAAGAGAGAGAGAGAGAGAGAACTCGCCGCCGCTGCCGGTGCCTATATTCGCCGCCTCGCCGGTGTCTAAGATTTGAAAGAGAAGTGAGAAGAAAAACGAGAGAGAGAAAGAAAGAGAGAGAAAGAGAGAGAGAGAGAGAGAGAGGACTCACCGTCAGAGTTGTTGCGCCGGTGAATGTTCGTCGCCTCGCCGGTTGTGTGGCTACCTGAGAGTGTGAGGACTGAGGAAGATGTGAAGACTGAAGAGAAGAGAGGTTCGACTAAGGGGAAACAGGTGAAAGAGGTGAAAGAGAAGAGAGGTTCGGCTTAGGGAGTTAGGGTTTTTTAAGTTTAGTCTATAGGTCGGGCCGGGTCGGGCTATTTTGGCAAATCCCGAGCCCGGCTCGAATTTATTGTGGGTCGGGCTTTTTGGCCCGGGGTTAAGCCCACTGGTTCATTTGAGTATTCAAGCCCATCCAAGGGCCGGGCCGGCCCATCAGACCACCCGACCCATGAATAGGTCTACCAGCCACCCAATTACCTCTCCCATAGCCAAACGAGCCCTTATCATCAGATGGTTTTTTAACAATCTGATTTCACAGGAGCTGTCAATGGGTCAGGATATAACCTAACTGGTTATACTTAGAAAGGTTGTGTTTGGTTTGAAGAAAAAAGTAGGTAAAGGAAGGTAAGGAAATCTTTACAAAACTTGTATAGGTTTCCTTATCCTTCCCTTCTTTTCCCTATCTTTTCCTTTAAACCAAACATAATATTAGGGATTGGAGTTTCTATCCTAATGTCTTAAATATATATATTTATCACAAATTTCGTCAATGGAGTTGATAGACAAAACCAAGTACAAATCCAATGCATAATGGTCCAATCATTTGGATAAAATGGGTAAACCAATGATTAAATAATAAAAATAAATACAAAATAAATAAAAGTATAGAAACTTTTGACATATGTAAAATATTATAAATTTATCATATTAAACAAAATAAATGTGATAAACAAGATTATTTGTAGAATTAATTATGAAAATGGAATAAAAATTTTAAACATGCCAAAAAATTAGATCTTTCTTTTGTCTTTCAACTTAAACAGGTCAACACATGATTTCATAATTATATTTTAAAATGCAAAAAATAGAAAGAAATAAAAAATCTATAAAACACAAAAAATTTGTACAACTCTACTATTATATATTTATCATATTAAACAAAAATAGATATGAAAAACAAGATGTATTTTTATAAAAATACAAACTTTAAATCTACTAGCATATCATGCTTTGATTACGCATCTTTTGTTAATGGATTTTGAAGTAACCATTTCTGGTCACGTACCAATTTTTTGTGATGTATCATTTCTTTTTGGGCTAAGTGCCTTGCCATTTGACCTGCTCCCAAGAGAGGATGGTGGAGCTCCTTGGTGGTGAGCTACTTGGTGACGAGCTCCCTGGTGGTGAGCTACTTGGTGACGAGTTCCCTAGTGGTGAGCTATCTGGTGACGAGCTCCCTGGCAGTGACCTACTTGGTGACAAGCTCCCTAGCGGTGAGCTACCTGGTGACGAGCTCCCTGGCGGTGAGCTACCTGGTGACGAGCTCCCTGGTGGCAAGCTCCCTAGTGGCGAGCTCCCTGGTGGTGAGCTACTTGGTGATGAGCTCCCTAGTGGTGAGCTACCTGGGTGGACTCGTCATTTGACCTGCTCCAAGGCGGCCTGTAACTCAGGGGATGGTGGAGCTCCCTGGTGTAGCGCAAATACTACTTATACTAGAAAGAAAATTTTATAAAGTTATTATAAGGTTGGTTATGTTAAGTGTTGGGCAGTCAAGAAACAATATGTCCAGAAAATGAGTATGGCAGAAATGTGAATACTAAGATGGATAAATGAAAAAACTAGAAATGATAGGATCATGAATTCACCCATATGAACTTAGGACTAGCCCCAATAGGTGATAAAATGAGAGAAAGTACGCTAAGATGGCTTGGCTGCTTGGGGTAAACAAAACCATCTACAACACTAATTAGAAGTGATTCGTAACAAGTTGGAACTAGAAGGGCTAGGATTACACCACAAAGGCCATGATTAGACGTAGTAAAAAATTATTTAAGCAATAATAATTTAATAGTGGATATAACTTTAAATAAAAACGGAAACATAACTTGTGTAGCTAATCTCATATAGTTTAGAGGCATGGATGATGATGATGATGATGAATGGATGAATAGTAGGGGTGTAAACGGATCGAATTCAAATCGGATCAAGCAATATCCAAATTCAATTCGATATCCAACGAATATTAAAAATTAATATCCAAATTCGAATCCGATTAAGTATTCAAATTTTCAATTCAATTCGAATTCGATTAATTAATTATTTTAGATAATTAATAAATATATAAAATAAATATATTATTGATATAAAATATATAAATTATTTATATAACTTAATTATTATATATATTATATAAAATATTTTATATTATATATAAGAATTAAATAATCAATCGAATTTGAATATTTATCGAATCTAATAAAGTCATATTTAAATTTGATTCGATTATATTGAATATCAAATTTAAAATCGAATTTTCGAATACCGTTGACACCCCTAATAAATAGATGTTAAATTTAGAATTGTCATTTTCTACTTCCTTCTAAGAAAAAGTCGTTTAAGTAAATTAATTGCAAATTTTAGGGGGCCTTTTAGTGAAACACAAACTATAGGTAGTTTTTAGTATCTAATCAATGCGTGATACAGGAGCGTTTCAATAAATGGCCCTAAAAACAATCAATTGATCACATGACACATGGAGATCACATAACTCCCTTTTAGCATTAATAGAAGTTTATTTAATTAATGAGATAATTAAATAAATGAAGTGAAATACTTAAATAATTAAGAAAACATTAACATATGTCATATAAATAAATAAATATAAAAATAATAAAACATTTAACAAATTGTTTAGATAAAAATAAAAATTAATAAACTAATAAAATAGTAAAATGATTAATAAATTAATCAATCATTTCATTGCATCATGTTACACATTAATCACATAGCCATGCCTCCAACAACGTTACTGTTGGATGAGTTCCTATGGACTAACGTCTCATATGGCACGCCCGGCGGATAGCAAAGGCTGTCTATTGTCAAACATGTCTTATAAAAAAGAAAAAAAAAAAGAACAGTTAAAGTTTTTTTGATGTTAGAAGTCACAGCTACGTAATCAATCATCAGTGAGACAATGAACATGTTACTGTTCCATACACATGGGCCCATGTGTATTATACACTAGCTGACCCACATGGAGCCCACATGTCAACATGAACTCATGTTCAAATTTGTATCTTTTAATATAGTTGGCTTATCAGTTAGGCTGCAAATGGATCCAATGGAATCGATATAGGTAAATTCAAATTTGATTAATGTATATGTGAATTCAATCGGATCATATCCATCGGATTTATGCCCATTCAAATCGAATTCAGATTATAATAGGATATTGAATAGTATTAAAAATGACCAATACACTATACATTGTCAATAAAATTGACTTTAATATTATATTTCATTAACAAAATGAATTAAAAATAACTTGTATGGAACTTGAAATTATGACAACCTATTAAAAATACTACATTTAAATCATATATATTAATAGACACAATTTAAATTTTAAATATATACTAATAGGGCCACAGAAAAATCAGAAAGTTGATTAATTTTATTAATTGATAATTTGAATTTCCAGCACATCGTCTGCTTCTCTCTCTCTCTTGAAGCAATAAATGACATACTTATTGTAGACAGATGGAGGAGATTGATTATTCTTTAATATATATTGTGGGCATACATATACACTTTGTTTCTCTTCTTGATTGTAGATAAATAATACATTGATCTAGTGTTTGTTCTTTATGCTCAGTTTGGAAATAATACAAATACAAATATATTCAAAATAATAAAAAATACAAGTACATATTTGTGTTTGTATTCTTTCCAAATTAAGCCTTAAAAGAACATATAGCAAAGAGATTTACCTAAGAAAACTGGGCAGCGAATGTTTGATGGGAGTGCTTTTAGAGGAGTTTATTTGGAATCAATTTCCAAAGGTAACATGTAAAACCAAAGTTACTTGCATTAAAAGAGTTGTTTAAAATAGACATATGGGAGAGAAGGGCATAAGATAAGGGCGGAGCCCCTGTTTGGCTGTTTTGACATCCAAAAAAATAGAAAAGGGCGAAGATAAATACATGGCAAAAAATTTCATATCTGGTTCTTCCCTTGTGCATTCTAGAGAAAGGCAATGGTTTGATGGATACATACCAAGAAAAAGAGTTAGATATTCAGATTAGATTAAAAATAAATAACGAAGGTTGAGTTAGAAATGGTTAAGCCTACATTATTTCCTTATTTCCTTAGTCTAAAATATTTTATATTGTAAATTTAAATTTTTAATAATTCCGTCGTAATTTAAATTTTATTTTTTAAGTTTAAATGTATTGAACCAACTAATCAAATCGAAAATTGACCCAAACCAATATAACCCAACTTGGTTGGTTTTCACTAATGGTTGGATGGTTTTGGGTATCCAACTACACAACCCAACCAGGTCAATTTGATTGGCCAAACAACCTACAATTGAACTGAACCAACCCATGAACACGCCTAATTTTAACTAAACTCATAATTTAATCTCTAA